CAGCTAAACCAGCTGCTTTGAAGTTTTTCACGACATCTATTCCAAAGAGGTCTGGGAGATGCACTAGTTTGGCTACCAAGCTTCTGTTAGATTCTCTTGTGCTTTTCCAGAAATACCCTTTTTCCCCACCTCCCATCTTAAATGGGTGAAAATCTTTACCTGTTTCAGTTCAAGGAAGTGTCTGCCAGCACTGAAAGAGGGTTGTATTCACCTGCAGGGCATCTGAGACAGATTTATTTCTCATTCTTCAATAATTGGGAGAATCTTTGAAAGCCACAATGAGGTGAGTTCCCTTTCTTGGCTATATTTGTCCAGCATTGTCAGTCGTGCTCACATGAAATATCTACTACCACGTCCAGGTAAAGCTTCTGCCTCAACAAATTATTCCTGAGTAGGTTTTCATTAGCTCCTCTGCCCACCAGCAGCAGTATCAGGAAATCTAATAGTGCAAAATGTTAGAATGACAGGGTGTAATCCTTTCTTTCTTTATTTCATTGAGGTGTTATCCTTCACCAAGGCAGACAAATACCCATACCGTTTTCCGTGGTCAAAACGCTAGATCTGCTATATCTCCTTGTGTTAGTAGGCCAATTTCTTGTCACACGTGCATAAATACATAAATAAAGATAACACTAGTGATTTTACTGTGGGTTGTTGCAGATACAGTATTACTGTGGGTTGTTGCAGATACAGTATTACTTTCATTTCAGTTGTTGTAATTTAGCAACATTTCTGCCTACTGCACCTCCTGTTTAAGCCCCCTATTTTCTCAGACATTACCAAAATGGCAGTGTTACACTGATGGCTTCTCAGTCCCTGGGATTATCTTTTCTCTGAGCTGATGTTACACAACAAGCTTTGTCTCCAAGAAATAAAAAGATGGTGTTTCTTAATCTTCATTAATGAGTCTTTATTATACTCGTAGTGAACAAAAACCTGGGAAATTTATCCTAATGAAGTTTAGTGAAGTCACTCTGTAACCCCTGCATGGGGTTTACCTGCGCTGGGTATTTCAAGACAGCACCCACAGGCACCGTGTCTTCAGCGGGATTTTGTACTGGATTGCCTGCCACTGGGTAAAGACACGTTAAGACACGCAGAAGTGATAACACGACCTTTGTGGAGTTTTTCAACCACGCTGAGCTGATGCAACTGAAAATCATGCCATTTGCTCATGAAAACATAGCCCATCTGTTTCTGTGTAATTATTCTCATCTTTTATTTTGTAAAGCAACCATAACAATAGGCTCTGCAGGTGTTGCCATAATACAGGTTATCATATTTGTATTTTGATCTAGTAATTTTGGATAATGTCTTCTCTGTTCTTGTATCAAATTGACTTCCAAACCTGTATATAATGTGTGATGTTTATAGGTTTAATCTTCCATGTGCTTCCTCTTTGTAAAAAAAATTTTATTAGTTATAATTTCAGATTACTCTCTACAGTCAAGAGCATCCGTATTCTTTAGATATATACTTTCAATCACGGTAACGTAGCTTTCTGCTGTTACTGTGGTTTTGCCAGCTACTATTTTTTTCCATTTCTTTTCAATCCATCTATTTATTATTTACCTCCCTAGATGTTTAACATTTCATTATTTTGTTCTCTATATGTATCTCTTCTCTTTTAGTAAGTTCAAGCTCTTTTGATGTAGAAATGTTTAAGACTGCCTGGATCCTCAGAAGAGCGTGCTTCTCTTGATACCTGAATCGAAGTATTAATAAAATAATGCCTCCAACAGTACCTGATTTCCACAAGGTCCATTGTTGCTGTTGATTATTAATAGGAGAGAATCATTGCATTTTCTCACATTCACGTTTGTATAAGTCTTTTGGGATGTATAGATGCCATAATATTACGTCACAGAATCAGGAAACCAAATAAAATTACAAGTTGTAGGCCAAGAAACCTTTTGCTTGGTTTAACTTTGTTGTTTCTATCCCTTTAAGTTTTAGTTGCTGTATTCAGCAGATATTTTACCTTTTATATCACTGATTAAATTAAGAGGCAAATTAATTTAAGGGCTCTGACTGCTCTTGATTGTCAGCAATCTGGATGCTTATTACGTGGTTTAAAGTATATTTAACTGAAGATGTATTGCTTCACATCCAATAGTCAGTAAAACATTTAGCATTTATGTCTTCTTAAATTTAAATATTATCACTTTTTCTGTAGTTCAAGAAGAGTTTTAAAGGCTGTAGGCATAATTTCCTCATTCTGAAAGAATGACTAACCACTAATTGCACTGAATATAGCCTTCCTCTTGCCTATCTTTTATAATTAGAAAAATGAACTGGCCCTGACCAAGTGTTATGTCTTTGCTTGTTCCTAATAAAAATATTATGTCCCCACTCACTCTCTATTTCAAAGGTTAAGAACGACTGCTGATCAGAGAAGGGATCAGTTAGTCAATGCTAGAGATGGGTCTGGAGTTCAGACATCGAGCTAAGTCTCACACTGCTCTGAATCCTTTTTTTCCTGTTCTTTCTTCCCCAAATTAAAAACCTATTGTAGAACAGCAGCAATCAGCCTTTTTCGTATCTCCCAAAATAGCCCAGGAGGTGCAGCCACATAACAAAAGCAGCCATAATACAGAAGGCCACATGAACTGGTGTTTCTTGTGACGAAGCATGAATTTATTGTGCTTTCCCCTTCTCCAACATCTTTAGGAAAGTTAAACTGCTATCCCCTGCCTTCACGTTCCCCATAAATCTTTTGGCTGTAACTACCATGGAGGGGGAGGAGGTGTAAGTAGTGAAAACAAAACCCCATGACATTTCTTCGAAGGCTTTTGGTGAGGAAGAAGAGGGCATTCAGCAAGCCAGAAGGTGTGACCTCACCAGCCCCGTTTTAAACCCAGAAGGAAAATCCTGGCAGTTGTAGATATTTTCCACTTTTTTATAGAACTATTTATTTGGGAATAGAAAGGGGAGATCACAGGCCCGACATGAGTTTAAAAAGGTATCAGTGACCTCCCCCTCCTTGTTTTTGAAGCTGAGTAATTACAAAATAATAAGATATGGCGAGTGTGATCAGGACACAAGGATTTGGATGTCTTTCCCAAAACAGGCCGGCTGCTTTTACCTTTAGTAAAAAGAATTTGGGGTTTGATGTTTAAAGAAGCGAAAGCAGAGCTGGAGATTTCTGCAGCTGATTTCTGCGGAGATGAGTTAACCTCCTGGGGTTTATTTGCTTGTTTAGTAAGGTCACCTAGGCCTCCTGTTGAATCAGCGGAAAACCGCATCTACCTCAGGCCTCCGCATTCCTGGGACGAGGAGGAGCTGTTTGAGGATCCTGACTATTTCAGGGTAGGGATCCACAAATTTGTCTTCTGCTGCCTGGTATCGTGCCCAGCCCCACTCGCTGTGTTTTCACGGTGCAAGACAGAGGCGGGAAGGGCAACGTTTGGACATCTTCCCCTGCGCTTGGCTGGTTGGAACGTGCAGGCAGACATGTTGAGCGAAGCGATAATGGAGTCCATGGAGTTTTCCTTGCCGGGCGGGAAGGGCTGCAGGGAGTTGCCACCACTGTTTGCCTGTGTAACAAGATGGTTTTTTTTTTTTTAAAGTTGCAGTGGGCGCAGGTGCCCAGGCACCAGCAGCAGGGGCTGCGGGGCGGCCTCTGTGAGGAGCAGCCAGGGCTGCCCTGTGCCAGCTCCAGCGGCCCCACCACAGGGCACAGCTGAGCCCTGCAGCCAAGATGGCGGCACCTCCAGGAAAGCGTGTAAGAAAGGGCAGAAAATGCCGGGCAGGCAGATGAGGAGGGGAAAAAAGAAGAGTTGAGAAACAGCAGTTGAGAAACGTACTGCCTGAGCCCGTGGAAGACCCACCCTGGAGCAGAGAAGCGGGAGAGGGAGGGCATGGCCAAGAGGTGTGCCTGCGTGCCCACCAGCCATAACCCCCTCCCACTCCGCTCCTTACCTGGCTGAAGGGACAGAGTGCGACCTGTGGCGATAACAAGGGGGAGGAGCGGAGCCTGGAGTGACACTGAGCCAGGGAAAGGGGAGAGAAAAGGTGTATGCTAATGTTCACCTTCTTGCTTCCCAATACCCGAATCAGTAATTAAATATCTATATTAACTGGCCATAAATTAATTTCTCCAAATCAAGTCTGTTTTGCCCTGGTGGGTAATTGGTAAGTGATCTCCCTGCCTTTATCTCGACCCATGAGCTTTCTCATTTCTGATCTTCGTATTTCCTCCTCCCATTTCACTAGGGAAGCAGTGAGAGAGCAGCCAGGTGGGAGCTTGGCTACCAGCCAGGGCCAACCCACCACAGAAGTCCAGCAAAACACAAGTTGTTTGTAGGCTTTGGGCTTAAGACCAAAGACAAACAACAACAAAAAGAAATAAAGGAATTTAGCCTGTCAGCCTCTGCGTGCACTTTGCGTCACTGACATGGGTTATCTGTGCTTCCTCTCCATGCCTGCGCACTGACCTTCACATCAGAATGTTAGGAGACTTTCCATTTTAAATCAGCTTAGTACTCTGCATATCTATAAAACAACAGCTTGTATGAGATTTATTACACAGTTCTTTGAGTAAGAAAGCCTGTTTGATCTTTTGCAAAGTCAGTGAGACCTTGAGCTGTTCAGGCTTTGCACAGCAGTTTAAGAGCAGTTTCTAGAAGCTCACTGGAAAGATAACACGTTTTAATCTGCAACTCATATCTAGGTTAATAAAAACAAAGTAAGGTATACGCCACCCCAAGTGAACAATTTCCATGCATATGCCTATATCCTTTTCTTGTCGAATAGAAGGCATATCGTTCTTAAATCTGTTCAGTATTAGTTTAATTCTTACTTACTTAAGAAACCCTTATTCTGTGAAAATCTAGTCATTCTTTCCTCAACTCCTTTATTGTCTTGCCTGAAGGCGTACATACATACAACACAAGCTTCAGATGCTAATACAAAACACCCTACAAAAGACAGAGTTGTAAAGGATGACAGAAATGGTTACAAAAGAAACAAAGCAGGCATAATAAAAGTATTCTTAAAATAAAAAAGCATTTATTATGAGATTATAAAACACGCCAAAATAAAAGTGTCTTTTAAACCACCAAGTATGCTTATGAATTGTATTTACAGGTTTTTCCTCCCATTTTAAAAGTAGAATTTGGTTTTGTATTTGCGTACATTGTTAAAAATAAATATTTAAAAAACATGATTCAAGAACAGATGCATACAATCAGGAAAAGGGAACCCTGGCTTGAAATGAAGCCATTCCAGCGTAAGTCAAGAGCAGAGAATGCGTGAGGGTTGAAAATTTAAATACATCCTGCTTAAACTGAGACGGTAAAATTTTGTAAAAACAAGAACAGATCACCTAAAAACTAACAATGCAAGCCTTTTTTCTTTTTTACAATATCACATCAAAGTTACACAGAATGCCCCAGTGATCACTAGGGAATCTGCCACAGTCTAGTTTTTCCAATCCGATTAAGTCCATACTTCGTGGAATAATATGTCCCCCGTCTGCTGCAGGCCGAAAGTAAATGCGGTCAAACCTCATCTTGCACTTGTACTCCATATCCAGGTTGGTATTGGAGTAGGTGTCCCAAGTATAGCGGCAGTGTTGAGGTTTACCCAAAAACTCCCAGATATCCGTAATGTTGTTCGGTAAGTTACCTAGTTTAGTAACCTGGAAGTAGAAGGGAGGGAAAATCCACAAGACACTGAATTCACAAATTTTACCCTCAAAAGAAGAACTGAGTTGTCACAATATCACTTTTTTTCTGCAAAACATGAGTTGTTAAAAACAAAGATATTGGAGATATTTCTAAATTGTGGTATTTCTCAGGATACCCTAAAGCATGACCAATTCCTGTAGTACTTTCTAAATCCAAAACATGTTACAAAATAAACATTCAGCTCTGAAATTCTGAGGTATGGGAGTCAACACTGTGTCCTCTGAAACAATGTCATTCCAGTTCACTGCAATGGAATTTCAGGATAGGGAAAGATAGTAATAACGCGCAAATTTGACTTTTAATATCAGCAGCCAAAAACAACTTCTAATTTTGAATGTCTCAATGATGGGGGATTAATTTTAAACTCCCAAGATCTATTTCTCCAGAGCACCCCCTTCTTTCATTGATTCTACAAGCATTAACTCTCTGAGAATCAGAGTTGAGCAAGTAAAGATCAGGTTCTCAAAGTGAGAAAATGCTTTTGAAGTCAAAACTTCATCGACTATCCCTGCATTTTCTCAGATATAAATATTGCCAATAAAGCATTTAGTTATTGGGGGGGGAGCTCTTTATATTTATCATCTCAGCTATAAACAATGCCTCAGCATAGCAATGCCGCAGCTTCTACTTAGTCATGCTTCCACTTTTTAAGAATAAATGTTGCATATCTCTGTGCTGCCTAAGCAGTTCATTTCTCATAAAGACAACAGAAAAGCCTGAGACGATTCTGTCAGACTACCTTCTCAAAAAAATGAGGTTGCTTATTTCTATTTACCTCACTGTCTCTGAGGTTTGTATCCCCTCCAAATATAACAGTGGTGGACTCAGACTCCTTCTGCATTTTGTTTAACACTATTTGCAGTTGCTTTATACGCTCCTTAGAGTGATTTCTAGTGCTCTCCAGATGAGAGGTCATAAGGCAAAGTTCATTACCAGATATGCTCACCTGTGTGTGAAACAAAGAGGCAATGCTAGTATCCACACCATGATAAGAAGTTGAAAGACAAAAATCTAATCACAAAGTAAACTACTGAATGACAGAGCTCTGGTTAGTATTAGTTTTACATTGAAGAGAAGTGGCTTACAGAAGGATAACAGGCTTTTGTTTTCAGAGGTTATGAGACTTGAAAACAAGGTACAACCAGTAACTTACATAAAAGATTTAAGTTTGTTAGCCTCAAATGCAACTGCATTTGTATGTTTGGAGAAGAAGTTTTTCTGCTGTTTGAGACTGTCATAGAGTGAAGCTAGTCCAGCCTTTCCTTTTTGCTTTGAAGGCAGAAATACAGCTGTTGAGTACATACTGACTCACTCACATGCACAACCAAAAGGTTCCTCATCATGGAGGTTGTGGGAAAAGGTATTATCTCATGTTTCAGTAGCTTCACTCTTGATTTCTTCAACATTATTGCAGTGAAATAGCCATCTATGTTACCTAAAGAGGAACAGGGAAAGAAATGGTCTGCTGTGCCATAAAGTTAAGGTTCTGAAAGAGACCTTTTCACCATGATCGTTTATTTGTAAGATGTGCAAAGTCATTACTTAAAAGTTTCATAATAGCGGTGTGAATTTTTCAGATTCTTTTTTTAATGCAAATATTTAAGAAATTACTTATCTAGGGCACTTTTTTGGCTACTCTTGCTATCAGTCTTTTAAAATGCAGAAAAAATACAAAGGAAACTTCCAGGCAAGCAAGCTTTTCACATGCATAATTTGCATCAAACTATATCCTGATATCAAAACACAGAAATTAATTTAAGTGCTTCCTTCTTCACTTTACTCTTTTCATTCCTACAAATGGTCAGAGATTTTGGCAAGGGAGACAGAATAAAACCGAACTTACTTTTTCCGGTTTCTGTCTTCAAAAACTGAGAGTTATTTCTTACCTGGAATAATAGTATAACTCCCTGCTCTCATCTTTAGAAGACAGAGATGTGGTGGGATGACCTCTTGTAAAAACACAACATCTGGACTGTATCTGAAATCGGCAAGACAAGGTTTTAAATTAACTACTGAAAGGTAGTACTGTTATACTCTGAGGCCAAATGGAACAGGGTCAGGGATTTCAGGTGCACCTTGTCCTCATCTTCCTAGACACTGTAAGAATCTGTTTTTTAAAAAAAGGAAAAACCTCTCTCCATCATATTTAGTAGCATGTAGACACATCACCATTGTTAAAAGGGAGGAAATGATTATTATGGACATGGAACTGACATGGTAATAAAATGCATGACTTCCTTATACCTTGATCTTGCAAACATTTGTGCAGGTTTCATATACTACATACATGAGGAATTCAACTTAAGCAGCTGCAAAGCAGCTTTGGAACATGTTCTGCAACATCTAAGTTCTCCAGGAGATTCCAACCGCTGCCTCATTCACTTACAACAGATCCCCTCAGGTAACCTGCCATTCATTTTCTCCAGTCTCATCAACACCAAGCTCTTTTATTTCTTAGAGCTGTGCAATCAGTAACAGTTCATGTGGGGCAGCAGTCCTGAAAATGCTGATTTAGACATGATTTTACAGCTGTCCTATTTTTGCTACACTGCTGAATAGCCCTGCTTTAAGCAGGTGAAAGACAAAACTAAGGCCTTATTTACAGAAGAATATTGTCACCCCAGATTAACAAAATCAAGTGAAAATTGAATTAGTTAAGGGGTTTCTGCTGTTTTAACAGGAACTTAAATTATCACTTGTTTAAATAATTTCATTTACACTGTTACTGCGTTAAGATAAATCAATATATTTAATTGCTAAATTGTTCATAAATATATTCATGGGAGGCTTCCACTGGTGGAACCACAAAAGGTAATCACAGATTCTATTGCTTTTACCTTACCTTGCACATTTTCTTTTTTGATAGACAAGTAACAGTAATGGCAAGAGAGCCACTTTTCACATTTTACTAAAAAAATCTTTTTTGTTGTTTCAAACAGTGTGCTCTAGTGTGAAGTTATTCACACTACTGGAATAAGACAAAAAAGTTTCTTGCAGTTTTATCCTTCTCTCATGTACAGGATGGAAGTATGAAGTATGCTCTTGATGTATGACTGCAACTTGAACAATATTGTTCATTATAAAAAATCTTTTTAAAGTAGCCATCACAAAATATTTAACTTTTGGGCTGCTGCACAGGTTCACACTTCTTCCAACCAGTATATCAACTTTTATTCAGCTATTTAGGATTTATAAAGTGACTGTATTGTTCCATCTAACATTAAGATAATTTGGGCATGAAGATTTGTAAATACCTAAAACAAGAAGCTTGCATTTTCCTTTAAAGCTGGGTACATGACAATACAAAGATGAAGCTATACTTACAATGCCAGGTAAGAACAGATTCCTCTAGCTCGTTCTTTTAGATTTCCTAGATCCAGCCCATCAATGTTCCAGGTTATCAGTGAGAAGCTGCTGTCATCTTCCTGCTGCCTTGAGTCTGCACTATTGACACCAGCATTACTAGTAGTTGCATCTGCTGTGAGGTCAATACTAAAGAGAGAGTTTACTTGTTTGTCAATGTGCATAATACTATTCTTCCTCCAATTCCCTTATCTTCTAAAGGAAAATGTTTTAGACCCATCACAACTTGCAGGTGGCCATCTAAAACCTTCCCAACAAATAAGTTAACATGTATTGATCTCAACGTAATTTAAAAGTGCAGTAACTAAAACATACAGACCTCAGTCATACAGAGCCTTAGTACACAGGTGAAGTGGTTTTTCCTCCTCCTTTATAGACGCAAGATAACATTTACCATTCTGATTTAAGTTAATCAGATGGTGCCCAACGTAATGCAAAGCACTTGCATAGTTCAACTCTTTCCAC